GGGACTCCTGAGTGGAAAGGGGGGGGGGGGGGGTTTCTGATGTGAAAGGAGGGGACTCTGATGTTAAGGGGAAGCTCCATGTTGTCTTTTTTCATTTATTTATTTTGGAGAGAGGGACCACATGTTTCTACATTTTAGACGGGTGTGTCTCGAGATTTTGCATACTTTTAAAAAGGTGCCATGACTAAACAAATGTTGAGAAATGCTGATCTAAGGGCTTGTTCTTCCTGTTTATCTCAGATGTGATATGTTGATGATTTTTTGTCAGGAGCTTAAGGCATGTAGGCTAGTTACCTCCTGTAGGGCTTATGGAGCTTGGTTATTGAGTTGCTTATGGAGATAAAGGAGAACTATGGGGTCAGGGCTTTCCCCAATAGTTCTCCTAAGGGTAACGGGAGGACACAAACTAGCGTCCTCCCGTCACCTAAAGCTCAGTATACCGCGAGCTACAGCTCGCGGTATACTGAGACGCCGCAGCCGGGACGGATCCTGACGTTACTGTCTGGATCCACCCAGCTGCGTGAGTGACAGATGGCTCTGCCTATCTAGAGGCAGAGCCAGCTGTACCCGCCCCCTCCCCCGTCCGTGCTGGGAGTATCGGACAGGGGAGGGTGAATCCCTGCAGGGAGCCTTGAGCGACAGTCACGGCTCTCTGCAGGGATAGATCAAGAAGTGAGCAAGCGACGGTATGTGTTCGCTCACTTCCCGATCTATTGCGCCGACCTGTGACAGTTTCTTTGTCACACGTCGGCTCGAACTATGAGGCTGAGTGATTTTCCCTCACCTCATAGTTCTCCTTTAATGTGTTTAAAGAGGAGAGGCCATTCACTTATGAAAGTGAATTTAAACTTTGCAAAGTTCATTTTACTTAGCCTAGCATATAAAGCAACACTTGCTTTAAATACCTAATCAACTGCAAGGAAAATAATCTTGATTCCTAAAAATAAAAAAAGATAAAAGTATGGCACTTTAGTGTAATAGGCACAGGTAGTAGTTTTATAGCTAAGATTTGCCCACCTTGCTTTTTCTAGTGAACAGAGTCTAAAACGTAATAAAAAATAAGGCACATCTCTACCAAAGTGCGCATGTCATTAGCAGCCACCATGTTTTTGGAGGTCTATCTAAGCAGCAATCATATTTGGCAAGATAGATGGCTAACCACATGAGTAAATACTCTCAGATCTGCAAACCCTGGTTCAGAGGTTAAGCAAAAGCACAGATATTTCTAAAACTATCGAATCCTGTCAGTTTGAAAGGGGTTTATGTGTTTGGTGGAAATCCAAGAGGAATGAAATGTCATTTCTGAATAAAGGGGAACTCTGAAATGAGCTACGACTCACTTCCAGGGTTTCATCTTTAAGAGATGGCAGACTCACCTTTTCCCTCTGAAGAGATAGTCTCTTTGCTTTATCATCTACAGTCTTCTCTTTAGTTAGTTCTTGTTCATTTTTGCTCTGTGCATCCTCTGGTTCTTGTTCCTTGCCTTTGTTCTCTATCATGTTCTGTTCTGCTTTCAGTTTTGGCACAAAGCCTCCAAGATAGTTTCCCACAAAGGCATGGACATTGTTGGACTGATTAGACAGAAAGTTTGAAATGCTCTTTTTGGTGGTAACCGCGGTGTCTTCTGTTGCGGATGAGACATCTTTTTCGTCACCGTCTATTTCCACATTTTGGTTTTTGGCATCTAGTGAACTTTTATTTTTCTCCATTCTGGTGTCAAACGCAAAGTAGGAATTTATATGATTAGCCAGGAAATTGTAAGTTTCTCCAAAGTTAGTAGTGAGGTTGCTAGGATGGAACAGGCTTGCCCTGGAGTCAGTGCCTTCATATGGAGAGTCCACAGGGCTGGTTTGAATGAGATGAGAGGTAGTTTTGGTAGGAGTTACGAGTGGCTCTTTACCGCTGTCCACAGTTTTACCTTTCAGAACGTCGCCCTTTGTGGCGCTGACTTCAGCTATCTGGACATGGTCCTCTTTACCAGCACTAGTCCCATTTGGCTTTGGGCGTACAATTCGTGAAATGAAATCACTGTGGGTGCTTGATACAGCTTTAGTGACAGAGTCTAAAGTATTCTTGATTCGTGACATAGACTTCTTTGCTATATATAATGCCTTTGAAGTGCAGAGTCTAAAATGTTTTGAGTATGCACTTGTTTGGTTATTAGTATGAATGAATCTCCTTTGTTCAGCTCTTCTGTATAGCAGCTTGCATTGCTTTGTCTTAACACTACGATAGCAATTTCGTGGACAGCAGTAGTATACGAGTTCTACATTCGCTTTTCTCCAGACTCCTCTTCTGGAAGTCAGAAAATACATATAGGTATCCAAAAACAACACGGACATTACTTAGAGGTACATTTGTTTTGGTGTAGCGGGTTTACAATCATCTGAAATGAGAAATCAAGACATGACGTCACTCTAAATTATTACCTTAAAAATGTACCAGATATTATTAGACAGGTATTGTTCCCCTTAATAACAATTTTTTTTCATAATTTTTCTAGTAGTCATTTGGTGGCTATTGCGCAACAAAACCTGTTCTTTCAAAAACTTGGACAAACGTGATTCCATACTATATACGGAATATAATGTGTCAAACAGGTTTTTTTCTAAACAAACTGCAAAATGTCTCCAGTAGAGACAAAAAGACTGATGCAGTGTTGTCTCATATACATAGTATTTGAGGTTGAATAAAGACACATGTACATCAAGTCCAACCTATTTGTGTATGTGTGTATGGTCCTATTGGTGTGTAGTATGTATAGGTCCCTCGTGTGTTTTCAATTTTAAGAGTACTTGTACCCCTGTGTATTACGGTCCCTGAAGAAATCGTCCAATCGCCTCTTGAACGATTCCACACTCTCAGCCGAAATCACAGCATGTGGCAGCGAGTTCCAGACCTTGACCGATCTAACTCAGAAGAAACCCCTTCGCCCCTTGTGCTGACATTTTTTCTCCACCAATTTTAAGTGGTGGCCTCTCATCCTTGTCATCGAGTTAATTGTAAAAAGTTTGCTGCTAATGTGTGTTTCTTTATAGTTTTTAGGTATTATTGTTTTACAAGCTTATAAAATAGGCATCCTTAAAAGGCCTCATTCAGCTTTTACAAAAAATAATACCTGCACACACAAAGAAAACAAAAAGTGTGTTTATTTGATTTTTTGCATTTGAGCCTGCAAAGCATTGCAAACACTGTCAGAGGTTTATGGTTGCAATGCTCTGGCACCTGCAGAATCCTCCTCCTAGCCACTGTACATACAGTACCTCGGTAGGTAGACTTTCAACTGAGAGTATGTTCACACCATATGCAGTGCGTTCTGGCTCGATTCCGGCCGGAAAGCACTGCATCGCGGCCGGCTCACTATTTTGTGGGGCTGGAATGGCAACGTAGCCACGCCCTCCGACCGCAATGCGATTGCCCGCACGGGATCGCAGGGCACATTGTGCCTGCCGTCTGGTCAGTTGCGGTCAAAATGCTGCTAGCACTTAATGGCCCGCCACGCCCCCTCCTGCCCCACTAAAAAGTGAGCCGGCCGCAATGCGAGGCAATGCGTTCTGGCCAGAATTGGACCGGAACGCACTGCAACTGGTGTGAACGGGCCCTGAGGGATGAAAGGAAGCACTAATGGGCTACAAGTGTGGTCACATCACTGCACTTGTACTCCACTTAGAACTAGGAGTCCACCTGCTGCAGTGGCAGGCAAGACTTGTAGTCTCTCCATGCACATATCCTGTGAATGGATATGTAATTGGATGAGATGACTGTATTGACGGAGCCATGCACTACTGTGCCAAATTCAAAAAGATGACCAAGAACCCCACGATTCAGGAAAGTGTGTGTGTGTGTGTGTGTGTGTGTGTGGGGGGGGCAGTTTAGGGATCTGAGCATGTTTCATGTTACACCCCAAATACAGGTGTAATATCAAACATGGTCGGAAAAGGTAAACTTAGCTTTCAAACGATAGCAAATTCTTAGTTTTGTTTTTCTCGATCCTGAATTGTGCATTTATCTGCATATCAAATATATCTCCATAAAGGTGGCCATACACTTTACAACCATCGCAAGATGGTTGTAAAGTAATTTAAAAAACGTACAATCTGCCTATCTTGGACAGGCAGATCGTACTCTCGATCATCGCAAGCCCGCCCCCCTGAGGTGCGGGCTTTCCGATGACCGCAATGCTGAAGGGCAGTGTGCGCGTGCGCACACCAGCCCGTTTGGCATTTGTCTCCCGAGCACCGTTCAAACCAGCCAAAAATCGTACGATTTTCGGCTGGTTTTCTAGCGTGCTCCTTAGACAAAAGACGTGCAACCGTACAGTAGAAACGGTCGCACGTCTTCGTTCACACTGCTCGATTCTCGTACGATCGCGGGATTTCCCGCGATTCTCATATGAGAATCGAGCAGTGTATGGGCACCTTTAAAGTGACATTAAAGCCAAAAAAAATGTCCCCTCCCCCCATGTAAATGTTAGCACTTACCTCAAATGATGTCTCTTATTCTGATCTTCCTCTTCTTTCCCCACGTTTTCATGTGTCCCTCCAGCGGTGTGACGTCACTCCGATCCAGCGCTGACTGCTCTGTCTCTCCGATCCAGCGGTGTCTGCAGGCGGGTGCACGCGTCCATAGACTTACCTTGCGTCTCTGCTCGTCTCCCGGCCGAGAATCGGAACTGCGCATGCGCCCGCCCCAAGATCCTTTGCGGCCGTACGATCACTTCCTGATTCTCGGCGCGGGATCGAGCAGCGATAACGAGGTAAGTTTAAAACCAGTTCAAGCATTTTTGTTTTTTTTTAAACTTCTTGCCTATATCTACTGCATGCTAGCAGTAGATATAGGCAAAAAAAAACCGGAGGGTTTAGAACCCCTTTAAAGTAGTCAGAAATCTGTGATTTAACAATACTACTGATTACATTTAGGTGAAACAAAAATGTGTAATTCACTTGTTGACTGACTGACTGATTGACAATGTGTGAATCGAATTGCTCATCCCTACTACACAGCCCGTAAGTGCTTTGTGGTTTTTAAAGTCCTAGAAAACACCGTCCTGTGTTTAGAGTCACTCCAGAGAAAGAAAGATTAGAAACAATCAATATAATGAAGTACCTGGATACGAACAGAGGTGAGTGGAATAGGTGTCCTGAAAATAACACAAAGATAGTGGAGAGTTCATGTTTTCAAACTGTTCCTCTCAGGCATTTAAAAATGGCATTTTGACAGCGGCTGCCTTTCCTAGATTACAATGTACTGCAAGCACAGCGTGCTCTAAATGAGCAGCCTCATGTACTAAGAATTGTTTTTCACTGGTCAGGTTTCCTATCTATGAAAGGACACTCCTTTTATGTTCCACCAATCATCACTCAGGACAAAGTGAACACCTCTCAGTGTCTTCAGTACAAGATCAGAGACGTGTTCAACTAGCACTTGCTGGATCATTCAATTCCCCAATGCAGAGCACCAGTGATGACAGATTCCTAAGATGAGGTCATATAAGAACGGAAGGATCGTACCTGCCAGCACACATAACATTCTTCATTTAAATCCAGAGCATAAGTCAACAACATGAAGCACGTTGCTGATAACAAGATCACATGCAAGGTTTTATTACAGTAAAAATGTTGTGCTGAGTAATACACATAGCTGACAAATGATTACTAACCCCTTCATGATAGAAGGTAAAACAAACTTTGTATTCATCTCTTAAAGTGTATAGCCCAAACCTTTTTTTAGTATTGGATAGAGTAGGGTTTTTGGGGGTTTCTTTGCGGTCTGTGTACCATTGGAGGAATCTCTCTTCACTTCCTGTCTTAGAGATTAAACAGGAAGTTAAAGAAAATATCCAAAAGTGAGGATAATTCCCCTCTTAGACAGTTGTCCCTGGGACAGGTGTCCGCATTTGATGATTTCCCTTCACCTCATCTTCTGGATTTACATTTCCCCTTACTTTCTTTCTAGGGGACAATGGTAAGTAGTAGAGATGAGCCTGGGCTTGGTGTGAACCCAATTCTCCTGAGTTCACCCAGGCCTGCTCAAAACTGTGACCATCACCCCTCCTCTTGACCCAATCAGGACCAGTGGTGACATTTGCAGTGAGGGAATTCCCCACCCCATAGCTATACATGCCTCTCTGCAACTGATTGGGTCTGGACGAGGGGGTTTTAGTCACAGTTTTGAGCGGGCTTGGGCAAACTAAGTTCACACCAAGCTTATCACTAGTACAAGCGGAGTGTTGAATCCCTTTTACTAAAGGTCTTACGCTGTGCTAGGCAACCTCAACACTCCAGCTGTGCTGAGCGAACAAATCCAATCATGCCCCTGGGAGTCATACATGTGGCTGTCAACCATGCAATGCTTCATGGGACTTGTAGTTCCCCAACAGCTGGTGTGCCAAGGTTACCTACTTCTGGAACATTTCCCCATTTCATCCAAATATAAGATATGCAACGTTGGCCTGTTTAGAGGAAGCACCTGAACCATCATTCAGTACTGAATATAGTTTAATCCACACTGATGGCCATTACTCCACAGCAATTGGATTGGATATCTTCTCAGTGTAAAGTAGCTGAAACAATTCATGGTGACATCACTAGTTACTAATGGTAACTATACTAATTAAACCAAATCCTTCCATTCCAGTGTGATGAGACCTCTGACAATGTATCTATCATCCTCCCTGTAAACAATCAGTGGAGGAAATGACATGAATCACACCAACTATCATTCCCATCATAAACTGCATGTCCTCGTGTCCCCTGTGCTGCTTTGTTTTTTAAGGCAAATTACAATCTCCAAATAGAAATGGGCCTTCTGATTCCATAGCTGCTGCTTTATGTCACCCCCACTCCCCACCTCCCTCCCCAGCAGCAGTCTTGTCAGTCACTGTGATGTTATGTCATAGTTCTATTGTTTTCCATACATTCTGCCCCTTACAGAAGCCTCAGCCTGAGGCAGATAGATACTGGCTGGGAGAGCCATAGAGTGTGTTAGTAGAGGAGAAGAAGAGATACTCACATAGTCCCGGAGGAGGACAGCTAATAGAGAGGACGCAGATCACTCACACATAGACAACCACAAGTGGGTGGAGCCACCAGCCGGGCTGTCACTCGGTACGATCAGCTGGGTGGCCTGACTCTCAACAGCCGTCCTCCTCTGTCATGTGACTCAATGTCAGACTACGGCAAGCCGGCTGGGACAGACTATCCACAGCGCGTTTATACTGTTTTCAGGCTTATGTTCAAGCTGCAAAGCTATGGGAACAGCATAATACTAAATATTATTGCTGTTGTCCAATATTTTTTACACTTATGTCTCAAAGCTTTACACTCTACTAATATTTACGATAATGATAATTATTATGTTATTTTTGTAAAGGAATATCTCTCTGATAAAGTGAAGGATAACATAGGACAGCTATCTTTGACTGGGATTGGACTGGTTTGAATTTCCAGAAGCACTCAGTGACCAGAAATCTAAAGTAGATCTAAACCCAATCAATGAAAACGCAGGGAAGCTTCAAAGTAGAACCAAAGCTAAAAATGGATAGAGTAAGGGAGCGTTATAACCAGACCTGGGAACTTGTACAAATTCCAATTCCTGAGGTGGTGGGAGGAGCTGTGGTAACTAAATAGTGTTTTTAAAACGTGGGAGGGGCTTAAGGTCCCATTCACATGAATGTGCTACAAAAGTGCATGCTTCGATGCCTTTTCACACTCAATGGGTACATGCGCCAAACACGGCAAACAAAGTCCCGCAAATGTGCATAACCACAACGCTCATTCCCGCTATGCCCTACTATGTAAACGGGGCCTAAATGATAGGTCTAGACTGGTGGATAGGTCAGATCCAGGTGCATTCCAGTGACGCTGATAGCGCACCTGACTCCCACCTAGCCACCATTCCAGTGGCAATGATAGCGCACCTGACTCCTACCTATCCACCATTCCAGTGAAACTGATAGCGCACCTGACTCCCGCCTATCCACCATTCCAGTGTCACTGATAGCGCACTTGACTCCCACCTATCCACCATTCCAGTGACACTAATAGCACACCTGACTCCCACCTAGCCACCATTCCAGTGACACTCACACATGTCTGTGTCACTGGAATGGTGGATAAGTGGGAGCCAGGTACACTTTTAGTGTCACTGGAATGGTGGATAGGTGGGAGCCAGGTACACTGTCAGTGTCACTGGAATGGTGGATAGGTGGGAGCCAGGTGCAATGTCAGTTTCACTTGAATGGTGGATAGGTGGGATGCAAGGCTAACCCCCCTAATCCCCCTCACTCTATCCAAAATTTAAAAAAAAGTACAGGTTCAATCTGAACTTTTGGAACATTTGGTGGGAATTGCCCAGCCAAACATCCCACAATGCATTGCAAAAAAAACTGTGTTGGTCAAAGTCTTGCCCATTACGCCTGGTCTGGTGCAAGACTTTGGCCAGTGATGGTTGCTGGCCAAAGCTCCAGCAACCACACAATAAAAAACTTCTCTCCAAATAGCCCTTTGTCAGTGTGATGGAGCTTAAGGTGCCATACACCTACTGAAATTCAGTGAGTTACTATTGCTAACGAACCATTATCAAAACGACATTGGTCTGTGCTTGATGGGCTATTTGAGCTAGAATCAAAAGAGGGGTCTTGGCAGCAATGAATATTCCTGAACGAAAATCGTTGTTTCTTTTTTAATTTTTTTTTATTGAGGGTGCATTTACATAATTCTTTTTTTGTTTATTGATTAAACAAATGAGTGGGTTTTTGCTTTTAGCATTTTAGGGTTGGTGTTAGCGGTTCATCTATTCGTTTTTTTCATTTTTTGGGGTCCATTTTATTTGTGTTCAGTTTTGTTAGGGTTTTTGCATGTTTTTATTTATTTTACAGGGTCAGCAGGGTGAACTTGTTTTTGACACTGCACTGTTGGTGACCCCTTGTTCCTCATACAGTTCTAGCTGGTGGCACCACACTCCTCATACAGTTCTAGCTATAGCTGTTAATAAAACTAGGGATAGCCCCTACAATAACATAATGTCTGGGAGCCCTAAAGGGAGTTGCAGAGGTTGTTCCCATGCAGCAAGCAGTTTCTGTATCCAAAGGCCAACGTGGTGGTTGGGCACACGTTTGAGAGGCAGGGGACGTCTGCCTTCTTTTCTGGCAATGGGTGTGCTGTACAGTCAGAGCACAAGGAAAAAATGGTTGATTGGCTAATCAAAGCCTTCATCATCCTACTCTGTCTTCCAGGCGCAGAGTCGTGTGAAGTCATGGTCAGCTACAAAAGCGTGCTGCTCTTCCTCCTTATCCACAGCTACTCCTGCCCTTGCCCTGCAAAATGGCACAGAGGAGTCTGCTGGATTTTTTTGAGTACAGTGTCACTTGCGGCAACAGGGCCCCATTCCACCTCTCCCTCCACTATACAGGATTTCTTATCAGTAGTGATGGGCTCGGGCGGGTTCGCAGCTCCACGTGCCGAGCCTGCCAGGGAGCTGACAGCGCAGCAGCGCCAATCACAGGTACTGAGACATTTTCCCGGTCTGCAGCTGCAGAGATCGACAAATGTCTCCGTGCCTGTGGTTGGTGCTGTCCGCCTCCTGGCGTGCTCGGCACGTGGAGCTGCGAACACGCCCGAGCCCATCACTACTTATCAGTAGCCTCAAGTGATAGCAATGAGAGTATTTTAAGGGGTGTCAGAGGTTTATCTTACAGCACTTCAATTGGGGAAGAGGGTAAGCATGGCGCCAAGCAGATTAGGGGTAAATCATTCTCAAATTTCAAACCAAAGTACAGTGTGGTCCCTTACACCTTTCTGAACCTGTGAGTGGAATATTCTGATTGCTATGAGCAACTTTTCACACATGGATTGTCCACCACAGAGTCCAGACCTTAACCCCATTCAGAATCTTTGGGATGTGCTGGAGAAGACTGAACTTGTAAGTGGAACAATCCAATGTTTTTTTTCTGCCTAGGTTTGATTTCAAAGTGAACAAGATTCTGGTTGCTGTGGACAACTTGTTCCGGTTTTCTATCCTCCCTGGCATAAAATCCCCACAATGTTCTTACTACTTGATTTAGTAACTCAGGTAATTGTGTTCTCTACTGTTAAATGCCAGAAAGTGTATTAGCAATTTAAGGTATAATTATTACCTCCTCCATTTTGTTGTTGCTGTGATGAGAAGATGAAATTGAAGTGCACTTTCTAGTACATGGTACAGCAATGTTCTCATATCTGTGGTTTAATAACAATCCATAGTCTGGATGCTTGGCAGGGAAACATTTTTGTGACACAAAGTGTAGCAAGCCTTAAAGCTATTTAGTACTTCATATAATTTAGAGAAGTGGTATGATGTGCTTTCTGCGATATTATTGCGGAGGATATAGTGGTTTCCTGGAAAGCAATTTGTTTGTTATGTCTTTGAATGGACAAGGAGAAATCCAGACAGTGAATGCATGTTGTAAAATTTTATATATATAAAATATATAATATAATTGTATGGGATGAGGCAGCGGGGATCTGAATTCAAATGGCCAGCGGGGGGGTGAGGCGGAGTGATCACTATGATCGAGCTGCATGAGAGAGCGGCAGGCGGGGAGGAGAGCGGAGCCGGTCATCCTGTCAGCTTCAAGATGACAGCGGCTGTGTCCGTGTGCAGCACAAACACTAGAGTGATCATCTGATCACTCCAATGTTTGTAAATAACTGGGGACACATAGTACTATGTGTCCCCAGTTATGAATAAACATGATGTGATTTACATCACTTCCTGTTCATTCACGATTTTCTCAATGTGGAGTAGCACTCAGTACCGAGGCTTTTCCCCATTCAGAAACTGGTGATAGTAAATATTTGTCATGGCCTGCAGCGATCCAGTATGAACCACAACTGCGGAGGATTGGGTGGTAGTAGTTGAAGTGGTGTATTACTCTAAAAATGGCACTCATACTAATAAAACAAAAAAGCATAAACCCCCCCTCCCCGCACATAACATACACGTGCACCATATCAAGGTGTATGCCATGCACATGTGCTGCAGTGCGTTTTTAGAATGCATCCTTCAGCAAAATAACATTTGCAAAGAGTCACCGACTTCAGGTTGTCCCCTTAACAAAATCTCTTCCACATAGGCTGTATCCAACAGATTCACCACAGTCTGGTTCCAGGATGGAGTCCTCCTGACTCCTGGACAGACAACTCCTCTGTCCCAGGTGGAACCCCATTCCCAGGTGGAACCCCGAACATTAGCCAGAAACCTTTCCATATGGGTTCTGTACAGGTGAACACTCATTAGGTGCTGGTCACTACTAAAGCATGGACCCTGGAATGGAGATTTCATCCCTCCCAATTCTCTTTGAAATCTCCCGGTTCCAGGATCCCAACTATTATCCAACTATTATCCCTTTTTCTTTGATATTATCCAAAAAACCCAGAAAGAAATGAAAAGCCAGATATTTCCTAGTAAAAGTAAAAGTCTCTGCCTGAGAGTCCTGGGTGAGTATGATGCAACATTATACCCTGTTATTACCATGCAATACCTACTTTTCATCTTGGTGTAAAGCAAATTTTCTATACACCAAAATTTCCCCCTTTCTCAAGTTCTAATGTTAGGAGGTATGGATGACAATGCTCTGTCCCAGTCTGCCCACTGTGCTCCTATTTTGTTACCCTGTCACACAGGCTTCCAATGGAGACTACAGCGTCCATTTCAACACAGATTATGCAGACAGACAGTGCATGCAAAGAGTCTGCAGAACCTCTGGACCATTGAGGTGCAAATAGGGATTAGAAAAGGTGAACACAAGTATTTTATTTATAACATGAACCTGTTTATGATACACAGAGCTTTAGAAAAGTAAATTATTAAGTTAGTGTTTACAGCTACTTCAAAAGCCTGTTCGCCTTATGTGGGTGTATGTGTATATAAATATATATATGTAATGTAAATGACAGCCTCAGTTAGTTCTTGGAATTGGTCAAGGAGGTGAGCAAGCAGCACTGAATGCTCAGTCATAGCAGCCTGCTAAGCGTCTTTTCCAGCAAAGCTTTCTTATGAACCAATGCCTTTAAGCCCTCGTTTACACCTGAATGTTTTGTAGCGCGTTCTACGCACGACGAACACACTACAAA